CGATGTGTATTTTATTTGACTCTGCTTGCTCCTCTCCTTCAGCTGACTCCGTTTCGTTTTTATGATCTATCTCCTTCTCTATTCTCGGGGCCCGCTCGGCGCTTGGGGAGCACGACGAGCGTCCTGCGAGTTTAAATGTTCCGTGCTACGCGTGGATATTTTTTCATCAGGTGCATCATTTGTTCCATTCGGAGGTCCTCTGTCGTTATAATTTTCATCCCTATTATAATTTCTGTTATAATTATAATTTCCTCTATAATTATTGTTGTTACCGTACTGGTTGTTGTAATTGTTATTATTATTTCTTGAGTAATCAGCGTTTCTGTTGTAGTTATTATATCTCTTATAGCCTGTATTCGTATAGGGGTTCCTTCTATAATCGTTGTTATAGTTTTGACTATACGTATTAGGGGGGTAATTATAATTATTCCGGTAGTTAAAATTTCCTTCCATATTTTCCCTGTTATTATTGTTAAATTGTTCGCGTCCGTCGCTCCGACTTATTTTCCCATTCTTTGCGTCTCTTACTAGTGTGCGGCATTCGCTTGTATAGTGCCCCCTGCGTTTGCAGTAAGCGCAATTTTTATTCCTTACGTTTTGTTTATCTTGTGATACCTGCACTGATGGATCGTTTGTTTTTATGTCTGGGTTTTGAATTCTCTTATTCACTGCGTCTGCTACTAATTTCATACATACTTTTGTAGCACGCTCCCCGTATTCATTGCAATATGAGCAATATTGATAGTCTCCTGTTATTTTATTTTTATCTGTTGTGTCGCGTATTTCTGCCTGCTCGTGGCTGCTCGCACGATCGTCCGTATATCTTGTTTCTGCTCTCACTTGGTATATTTGGGCCTCGATTCGTGCTGGCATTATTTCTCGTAGGCTTAAGTCGCTTTCCATTTTCAGCGCGGCTACTATAGCTTCGCCTAACGTCTTCGGGTTAAGGCATGTTACCCGGTAGTTGTAAGGTGATTGTATTCCGTACGTATATTGCTTTATAGCTTCTTTTTCAGCGCTCTCCTTTAATGCGTGTCGTTGCCCGGGTGATAGTGTCGTGTCCGAATCGTATAGAGTTATTATTATATCGTATAATTTTTGAACGCGCCTGCTGTATTCCTCTACTAATTCCCCTCTGTATTGTTTCACTACTTTTAATTTTGCTAATAACGTGTCGACGCTTCCAATGCTGCTGTACCTATTTTTCAATTCTACCAAGAATTCATCTACAGATGAGAACTGTGCCAGGCGTGGTATAAATTCGGCGGCTGCTTCTTTTAGCTTATTCGCTAGTGAGCCTATAAAAAATTTTTCATATACGGGGCTTGCCGTCCACGATACCACTCTTACCATTTGTTCGAAAAGGGGTAGTTTAACGGAATCGCCGTCAAATATCGGTATGTTTGCTGCTAGGTGACTTAGTGACGACAGAGTGTTCTGAATTGGGCGTTCGTAATTAGGATTTCCTGTGTAATGTGGGGGTACCGTAAATCGGTCTTGGGAGTTTAATTAATTCCTATTTGCCCAACCTAACTCGTCCTCTCCTGCAGGATAAAGTGGTGCCGCTGTATTCTGTCTATAATAATTATTGTCATGGTTTGTATTGTGGGTGATGCCGTAGTTCCCGATTTCTTGCTCACCTTGAGCTACTGGGGTTCGCTTTTGTGTTTGACGCCGTGTAACTTTTTCGTACGTCTGTTGTGATGATTGATGTTTTGGTTGTGTAGGTGTAGGTATTCGATTTGTATATTGTTGCACCGCTTGTGCCGCTGCTTCTCTTATTATATCGTGTAAATTAGTGTCATGTTTGGCTTGTGTTTTATCGCTATGTGGATTAGTGACTAGTCGATTCATGTAGGTTGTCGCATTTTCACGTTCGGTAAATGAAGTTAATTTTTCAAATACGGGAGGTCTATGTATTTCTGTGTGGGATGGCGCATCAGTTTTGTTATCGCTTATGTCTTGTCTATGAGATAACTGTCTGCGTTTTATACTTGGCGTTAATTTCCTTAACATTTTCATCATAAAAAGCTTCTATTTTTTGCTGGCCTTCTGCCACTCTGTCCATGTTTCCGGATCATTTTCTAGATTAATTTGTATTACTTCGTCATCTGTGTCAATTGGTCCTGTTTCGTGTATATCTGTGCACCTCATGGCTTCCTGTACTCCCCTTCCCAGTGTATCATGTGTTTCTACGTCACTCATAGTGTTGTTCTTTAGTCTCTTTTTTTTTTTTTGTAGTTCGTCTTGTGCTTTTCTAGTTCGTATAAATATTTTTCTAATCGTAAAACGCTGTCGTTTCTGTGTACTTTGTGTTAACCTGATAGATACGCGCGCTCTATCGAGTGTTAGTCGATAGTCTTTTTTTTTGTTTGTTTTTGTTTTCAGTTGGCTACTCCTTGTATTTATTATCTAATTTAAAAAAATGTTGTATGGGGTGTTTATCGTTTGTATCGGTTAAATGCTTGTGCATGCAATTATGGGTTGCCGCTAAGGTCTTAGGATATTGAGATTTAGAAATAATATCGATATGTAAGTTTTTTTTCTTGTAGGTGCGTATTTCCCTCGGAGGTTATGAGTATATTATATACGAGTAATGAAAATTCACTTACCAGATTGCCGTGACGATGGTCAGCATGACGATAATCCCGTGCATACTTATGGGTCCCTTCTTTGATCCTTCCTGGAGTTGCTCAGCTTCTGCTTCCGCTCGTTGTTCCCTTCCCCTGTGCCGTGTTCTGCGGCTATAGTCCGGGATTGGCGTACCGTGCTTTCTTCTCTTTGTCTGTATTTTTCCGGGTTGAGTGAATGGTAGCTGCCTCTAGTGTCCTGGTATGCTGGTCCACTGGCTTGATATACAGTTTTTTCTTGTCTGGTATCCTTGCAGTATCGAAGATTTTTACGATTATATCTTCCTGTTCTCCTTTACTTTTCCAATTTCCTCATATTGTGGCACTTGACACACTGAATTTAGCGTCTGGCACTTTTGACACTTTTTTCTTTGCGGCGAGAGATATATTATTTTTCTTTCTTTTATTTATTACGTTAATTAAGACAAGAAAAAATTAATTAAAAAAAATTTTTTTTTTGTTCCGCGAGACTAAGTGATTTCCGCACACGCGACAGACCGTAAAAAATTTTATCTGTATCCCACTTCTGACACCAGCTGTTACGTGGAATTCTCGGTGCGGGAATAAATAGAAGCGTGACTTGTTGTTACTTATGCTTTATTAGAATTACTTATCATTGAGGGAAGTTGTGCATGTATGTTCGTTTCGCGGACTTCGTCCTTACCCTCTCGCGTCTCTAGCTGATCTCCCTGTCCCTTGTCTCTACCTTTCCTATCACCTCTCTTCTCTATTCCCCTACCTTTCGGGCCCAAGCCAGCAGAGGCGCACGCACGCATAGCTATATGCTATCGTACGTAACAATGCCTAAGGTTAGAGCAATATTTATAAAATACTAAACTTTTATCACTTATAATCTTTTACACGAAGAATAAGAGCAATATGAAAAAACATATGACAAAATTCGTAAATTTAGCTTTGAAATGAGATTTGTTAAAATGTGGTAAAGTGTTTACGAAGTACTTTTGTGAATCTAAATAGTCAGCTCACACAATGTATATTTCTCCATCTCTTTTATCAAATTTCACTTACAATTATGTGACAAGCCTAGTCAAAAGTTTTATTATTTATTTTTCTTTAGTTCTTATCAGTCCTGAAAAAATGATGGAAATAACCTCAGTTATTATAATTTTTTTATAATTTACGAAAATGTTACTATGGATTTTAAAAAACGATTTAAAATGTATCATGAATCATTAAGAATGACCAGTTTCCATACTTTTTACATTATATATTAAAAAAATGAGATTAGTGTTCAAAGCGTACAAATACCATTATTTTGAATTGTTTCATAACCCAAAAGTGAAGATTATTTTTATACAACTGCTTATTAATATATCACTCTGGCTAAATAAACTACCTGTATGAGTTTTTGTAAGAGTAATATTTCTTGTGGCATCATAAATTAACAAAATTACTTTTTTATATAATTTTTCCATTATGATTTATTTTTTCTGTTATCTCATTAATTTTATAGGTTAGAGGAGATAAAGGAGGATAAGAACGCAGAGTACGACGTGATCACTTCGTCAAGGTGAGGCACAAGAAAAATTGTGCATCCCTCTCTAAGTCCTTTGCAAACTGTGTACTTACTTACAATGTTATATACGTGTATAAATGTTTAACTTTTACATATGGCACATGAATGCCAATGTTGCTCGAAGTTAAACTAAAAATTACTGTATTGGATACAGCATCACTATAGTTTTTTTAACTATAATCCAAGTACTGTACACTTATTATAATGTATCTTTATTTTACATGTATCGACATCTTGAAGGTATCAATTGTCTCAAGTTTTTTGTAGTATTGATGTATTCAATAATGATACGTAAACATATTAATCATTCGTTATAAAGCTTGTAATTGTCTCAAGATATTTATTGTTAATAACAAGTAGCAAAATTTAATTTTAATTTATTATATTTTTATGTCAGTAATATCTTAACAGTATTACTCTCATTTCTGAAGTATGGCTCACACAGTATAGAATTTATAGAACTCTCATAGAGAAACAGCAAGAAACAGCTACAGAAACGGCAAAAAGCTTGAATGCAATCATATTTTCCTTACCGGATTTTAACTGTTCCAAATTTTAGATTTTTACTAGCTTAAATACTTAGAAACTTTTCTATTTGTGAATATGGTACTATCATGACTTATACTTTGTTAAACTGTATCATTTTTTAAATGAAAATTTCTGATAGTGGAAAGTGCAAAACAGCTGTACAGACACATATTAGTAGTAAATCGTAACGAAAAATACGTTAGTTATTGTGTAAGTAAAATGACTCAATCATATAAGTTATTATTAATAAAATGTGAAGTTATTTAGTTTCAAGTACAAACCATACTTTTTTTTTATATTATAGTGCTTTTCGTCCGGCACTCTTGTAGAGGCATTACTTAGGGCACTTAGCACTTGGGATTGGGAAAGAATTGGGATGGGATTGGAAGGGGGGAGGGCCCTAACAACGGCTCCGCATTCGCCCATGACAATTGTCATGTGGATCAGGAAAACCCCGGGAAATCTCCCGTATAAAAACCTGATCTGGAACAGCCCGGTATATCTACATTATTTCTGACCTGGTGTCTAAGCTTCAGACTTAGACAACGGGGCAGAAATTTGGCACACCTCCCGCTCACGACGTCGAAGAGATAGAGAAACAGTCAATCAATCCACGAAGCGAACAGCAGAGGCGAAACGGCGAGACTTGATCATCACTATCTTTATTACTTATCCGTCAGTATTGAATAATTTCATAATCATTTTTACAACTATTATCAAGTCGCAGCTTATTCAGCAGCAGTCAAGTTGTATTGCATATTTTCATAGATAACTTAGAATGTGAATGCATTATTATAATATATAGTTTAATATTCAGTCTTGAAGGTATTTTTAGACAATACATTGTTTTTCAAAGTATAAAGACAGTATATAAATTCCTTATTCAAGCAAAATAAGCTGCCAAATTATCATCCCACATTTAATATCGAGTATTAATGATTTATCATATCTAATCAAGAGCACCTCTCATAGCTAGTTGTTGTAAGTCAGTATTGTTACTGATGTATACTTTATCATTTCGGCCGTTTATTCATGACCAGATACATCCCAAAATCTATGTATAAGTTGTTGAAAAAAAAATTATTTTTTCCTGTCATTGTACTTCTTGCAAGAACTTGCTTCACCGGAATATCGACTGACTTATTAATTAAAATCTCAACCAAATGGTTACCATCAGTGATGGCACTGCTACGATTTTATGAGCTTGATATCAGTTGCAGAACAGTATCATCACAATAAATTAGGCTACGATCTTGTAGTAACTACCATTTTTTTTAAGTGTTGAGTGATTGTAAGACATTTTCAGTTATGATAATATTTGTAACAGCTAATTTTTAAATTAAATAATAAATTTCTATATAAGTATCCATTTCATCTACGATGATAACCGAGCCCAAGAACACTTGCAAAGCAATCGGTGGGGAATTCTGCTTTTCGCAACCAAGGATAAAACAAACGTCCAAACATTAAGAAAGGCGCTCGAGGTGGGGACATGTATTTTCTAGTTTTTAATTGTTGAGCCATTTTGTAGTGTAGTATATGAAAAAACTTGATCTGGGAAGTCAGGACAACGCAAATAAAGTTTGTTGTGGAAACTGTAAATTTATAAAATTTCGATGGTAAATACTTTTTGATAAGTAATGTTAAAGAAAAAAAATCAGACTGTTCAAAATCTTCTGAAAAATATAAATACAACAGAGATAAAGAAACTCGTGAGAAATATTTAACTTAAAACAATTTACATTATATAGAAAATTATTTATTGGTAATAGTAATATGAATGGTTAGCACATTCTTCTTGGCTAAACCAGCAAAGATATTTAATAGTTTATAGAAAGCTCGTAAACGAATCATATATTTTCTATAAAGACAGAAAGTTGACTCATCTAATTATAAAGACTTGGAACCTAAAGCTTCTCTTAAAATCCATGTCAAATTAGATGCTAATGAAAAGTACAATATAACACAACTTAAACAGTTAAAATTGGATAAATATGTTCACAAACTAACAATGTATACTTTAACTGTTGCCATGGTGGATTAGTCATTGTAAGTCGGGGATATTTATATTCATTGCCTCATTCACTGTTCTTAGGTAGCTTCACACAAGCTAAGAGACCCTAAGAGAAATTTAATTTTATACATGGTGAGGATGGAAATGGACTTAATAAATAAGCGAAAAATCAAAGGCTACCCTGTGGGGGTTATATACTTAAAAATGACAAAATGTGTGATTTCTCACTAAAAGCCAATAGTATTAATAAAAGTAACGTGGCTAATAGGGCCAAGATCAAGAATAATCAGCAAGCTTTAGATTTAGTCAGTGGTCATAAAAACAAAATCACATATCTATATCACTCAGTGATACCAGAAATCACGTCAAAGCCTGAGCCTTAATCCTAATGATGTTGTCAATTCCACCAAAAAATTGTTTTTAATAAACCATATTTTGCATAAGCCATCCAAGATATAAACAAAAAAAAACAATCACTTCAGATTTATTCATAAGCCTTGAAGAGATACTTAAGTCACTATTGTTTTCTTTACCTAAGCGATTAATAAGTGCAAATAATAATCATGCTAGTTTTGATAAAACACCAAATGACATCCCTCGAGCTCTATCACGGCTTTCGATATCTCGCAAAAGTCAGTTTTTTTTCGATAATTTAAGTAAAATTATGGTTGAGCGCATGCGCAGTCTAAGAATTATCGAAAAAAATACTGACTTTTGCGAGATATCGAAAGCTGTGATAGAGCCCCTGGTTAACATAAGCTTATGTAATGATAGAATCCAAACCTAGAAAAATCAAAAAAACTGTAACTACCCATAGACATTGTTAAAGAAAAGGATATTTGCGTGTGCAGATTATATTGGATTGAAAAGCACAGGAATCTGTATGGAAAAATAATTTTAATGATTATGATGTTGCTGCCTAACTAATTAAAAAGAACTAAGCTACAAGATAAATACTAAAAATAAATAAAACTGTTAGACAAGTATGAATCATAACAACATTGTTTTGATTCAGCAGGTTTTATGTTAGAGACCCGGTTTTATTGGATTAAAGAATACTTCGACTTTAATGCTTTCTAAGACGTAGTTTTTCAAATAAAATTTGGTCAAAAGTATGATAAGTTTCATTTCAAACGAACACTAATAGACAATCAAATATCCTCTGTTTTAGCTAATTAACTTTTAAAACAAAAAAACGCAAATAATCCAACAAAATATGAAGTTATCAGTTATACTGTTAAGTAAATATTACCAAGTAAAAAATCTCTGATCTAGGAATTAGTAAAAGTGAATTTAAGTGATTATCTTGATTTAGCGTGGAACTACATGCGACACCTTTTCATACACGGCGTAATTTTTTTGCGTCAAAAATGGCTAGTACAAAATATGACGCAACGTCGTTTGGCTGTATTCTTATAAAAATATTTAGTAAAGATATACTATTGTACTACATGGAAAATAGAAATTATATGTATGGTTGCATTAGATCAAGGATAGATGAAGCTGAACAATCTTCAAACACAGATGCTCTTCCCAGTCAAATACAGCATACCATTATAATTTCAACTACGAACCCAAAAAATGACCAAATATTTTCGATATACTATACTGCATGTGTGTTCGGTAGGAATTCATTATTACTTATCCATCAATACTATTATCATTAAAGCAGTACCTTGATTTTCAATATTCTTTTACAATTTGTTAAATACTGTGGTCATGTTGAAGTTACTATTTTCTCTTATTTTCTATTATTAAGTAGAGTTGTTAGTGAGGTTTCGTGTAAGATAGTTAGATTCAATCAATACTTACTATATTTTTTTAAGATACGCTTGTGATTAAAAATAAAATTATTAGCTGTGCATATTAATATTAATTTATTATAAAATTAATAAACTGTTTTGATAAATACATGTGTATATATTGTGTGTGCACTTGGTCACGTGATATAAATCAACAATAATTTTGTTTACTTTGTATAGTAGAAATTCTTCAACCGTAAATTTATAAATTTGTAAATGATTTTTCAGTGTATCGATGTATGCGTAATAATGTACAAAGAATACGGTACATCAAAACATGTATGAAATGTATCATGATAAAAGTTTATTGACAATTTTGTAAGTGTTGTATTACACCTGATTTGCGTACTATAAACGGTGTTCTGAAATAATTAAATACAAATTTGAAGCTTTTTTTAGGGTATTTATAACTGGTGTGTTATTATCACATACAGTTCTTGGAATTTGGGTACAAATAACCAGGGTTCTTGACGGTATTTTTATTTTAAAAGCTCCGCATGTTCTAAATTAACATTGTTTGCAATCACTTGTGTTGTTTATTTCTGGGTGGTAAGTGGTGGGTAAATTCTCTTAGGTTTTCCCAATAAAAGATTAAAAGAGTTGTGCTTACGAATTGTATGTTCGGTCCATTATTTATTAGTACGCAAACAAGTCTTTTTTCATAAGAGGCCTGAAAAAGAATATAAGATTTCGAATGTGCAAAGGATTTGGAACATTTATTACACACTTGTTTTCTATTTCTCTAAAATGGAGTACATGAAAATCACCTTAAAAATATAAAGTACTCACGTAATAGTTTACTTAAGAAAGAATATTATATCATACAGTAAAAAGCTAGTTTACCTGAATTTTGGAGAAACAATCAACAATATGCATCAGCTCAGTTGAATATAAATACTCTGTTCTTCTAAAAACTGATAATGCTGGCATGTTTAACATCATGGTGAAAACAAAATGATGTCTGTGCCTATTCCATAATTTTCAATTTAGTAATCTTTATCCTTTAAATAGTGAGCTGTAAGAGAATAAAACAAAATGAATGTATGCAGTTTACTGAATAAAAATAAAATGCCTAATATGAATTAATAAACCTTGTGCTTGTTAACAAGCTGAAAGGCTACTTTGAACTCAAAATTAGGCAAATGCTAGTGACCCTAATATATTATAAATAAATTATAGAATAAATAATTATAATTATATCTGATTCGTTTAATGATATAAATTTTATAGTATTTTAAAATTTTGGTGGTCAAAAAATCGTTAACTAGAGTAATTTTATTTACAAGATAAACCAAATATATATAGTCGTCTAGAATTACGTCTAATAAACTCACCCAGTACTGATTCCATATCTAATTCTTTAATTATATAGCAATATTGTTTAATCTATTTTGGAGCATCGTAGATCTGATATAATTTTTAAACCTTTTTAAACAAGAAAAACTTCGTTCATTCGCGCATTAAGAACTTGGAATACTTGGAACTCGTCATAGTAGGGTACTATTTGCCTTGATGGGGCGCATTTGCCTTCAGGAACAAGGAACATGATGTAAATTTGTACAAAGCGTCAAAAGTATCTGCTCAAAAACACTTAATTTTTTCTATTGATATATTCAACAAGCAACACAAATAAAATAATGAAGCATTCGACGAGACTAATGATAAATTTTGATTAAATTAAAATGAAAAAATTTATCCTTTGTTGTAAACAAGATTTATTTTCATTACAGTCTTATCATTTTAAAATCACAGCTGACAAAAAACACATCGGTACACTTTCTGTGATCAATGCATAACATTTATTAATTTTTTGTCACATAAAAAACACAAATTAATATTACATTGCATTATTTAATAAATAGTCAATATCCGATAAAAATTCTGGCATGTTAGCAAACGGCTTGGAACACATATATACATGAGTATAGCTGCTTGTGATTGGCTGAAGGAGACAGCAGAAGGGGATCATCGTTCTCTTTCTAGCTTGCCAAGTGCCAATCACAGATAGATATACGCATGTATATATCCTTTTAGCCATTTGTCTACATGCAAAAATTTTTGCCTGATTGTGGCTAGACAGGGCACAACTTCTGCATTGGATCGGAGGTAATACAACATGAATAATTTTTGGACTATTTTTCTATGATTCAAAAAAATTCTTTTAAAAAATCTAGGTATTTATCAAAAGTGAAAATTGCCAAAGCAGCATAACAGATTCATTCATTGAATTCTCAGGGTTAATGCTTTGGTTTTTGGCTGCTCACTTAGGAAATCTAAATCAAATGTTATTCTATCTTTAATTTTCAAGACAGTAGCTTGTTATTAATAAAGACTTCAGGTTAGTGCCTACTAAGTTGAGCTAACACTTTTCACAACTTTTTTATTTTCCCGTGGAATAAAATGATAGGATGTCAAGAAAATGGCAGGAGGTAATGCAGTATCTGTAAGATAAAGTGCTGTTACCACAAAAATATACAAAAGTAACACTCAAAAAAAAATGAAAAAAAAATTCATTCTCATACTTTGAACAAACAGGTTATGGTTTTAATTAAAGAGTTTTTGCCTTATACTATGAAGTTTTTGGTTTATTCAAAACCAGAGCTCCACTAAATTTTTTTACTTCATATTTTCAATGCTTCCTAAATACAGTAGTTTTTAAACTAGTGCTGTCTTAACTGCACTTCAATTAATTTTCCAACTTGAATTCAATGACTCTCACATTAAATTAACACGATTGTAACCATCAAGATTTCGATACAGTATTAGGTAAGCACTACAGTTTATATAGCTTAAAACTGATTTAACGCAGCACATCAATGTTCATTATCTTTCTGTTATTTGCTTATAATTTTTTTTATAAAACAACAATACTTAATAATAATATATAAAAGCTTTTGCTGAATAGTTGAAAATATTTCAAAAAGTAAAAACTCAAAACAAAGCCATGTACTAGTACTATCCATCTTGAAAACATAGTAGGTTGAGTACTTTGTACAGTATCCGTACTTCATACGTACATAAAATAGTAATATAATCCTAATGTAAATACTTTCTTGTAAAAACTTACTGTACATATACGCTTCTTTTTCTTCATATATATTGGCACGTAATTTTTTGACGTTTGGCACAAAAAATGTCAAATTTTCAGGTGCTGTTGTGGTCACTCTTACACTCATCATTGCGGCACCGGTGCTGATGTCCAGAGTTTTGCCACTGGTTCCGCTGCAGAAATCGAAAGAGATGAATGGAGCCCTGGAAAAAATACAAAGCCCTGTCCTACTGATGCTTACGGAACTATTGAATTTCAGGGTTTACCTCATCCGACCAAGGCCCAGGTAAATTTTCCATATTTAGTTTTTAACTTTGTCCAAACTTATAAAAAGTTCTTGTTCTGAAATTTTACTAAGTTTGACCTATGATACTTTTCCAAACTTGTTCCATATAAATAAACGTTAACTTTAAAAAATTACAAAAAAACAGTCTAGCTACACTTCGTCAAATCAAAGATTGTTCCATATATATGCATAAATTAAGTTATAAAGTAACAAATGCACCAAGTTTTTGAACTCTTTTTTATAACAAAAATAAAAATTTATGAAAAATTGCATAACAAATTTTTTTATGGAATTTGAAGGTACACACGCTTAGCATACCAAATTTCGTTTTCTTCATGCTTACTTTCGATTTCTGCCTCACTGTCAGAAAAAGGAGAATCCTCGAGAACTTGATATTTATTGACAAGCTCATCATCGATTCAATAAAAATATTCGTATGAAAAAGCACCCCTTATTTTGCTGTCATAACAATTGCGGGCATAAAAAAATTTTAAATGTACTTAAAAAGTTGACTGAATTAAAAAGCTGTATTCAAGGACCTAATATTCATCGCAAATAAAAATAATAACGATATCCTTCATTATTAGGTCACACCATCTCAAATTAAGTATCTCAAGAATTGTATACGAAAAAATGATATTTCTTCAAACGCAGCTGATTTAAAGCAATCAGTTTTATTTCTGCTCCATTGCTATTGGAGAGCCGTAGTCTTAGACATTAGGTCAAAGATGAAACTAAATCGTTCGGTGTACATAAGAACTGGAATGTTACAAACCAGTAGTCAGTGGGTGCTTGGGTATCCAAGTATGTATTTATACTTCTATGCCAGACACAATATACGAATAGAAATATACCTTCTATTAAACGATACTTTAAATGATTTATTGCAATGTATTTAAGGTGGTGTAGTTACTGTTTGAATAAGGATGTCTGGTAATTGGGTAGGGTTTCAATAAATGTTTTAATACTTAATAAACGAACAATTCTAAAGAATACATCATGTAGACAAAAATAGTTAGTCACTTGAGCTCACTTTTTATCAAGACCCTCATAGCCCCTCAGTGCCTCCCATACACCCCGAAGAATTTTTCTTGATTCCCTACCACCCCCTAAAGCCTCTCCCTACCATTTTAGTGAAAATTTACCGATACCCTACTTACTATCACGGACCTCGATTCCTACTAACACATATATATGTATAAATATTATTTAATTTTNAAAAGGGCCAGTGGTGAAACTTCCAGTTATTCCTTATTATTATTCTTGATGATGGAGAGCCAGCTACGGGTATCTTGACTCTTATCCTTGGAGTCTCTGTGTACGGAGACCGTACTGGAGGTACGCCACTGACCAAAAAATATCTCATGTTTTTGTTTTTTCCAATCTTGTAGGATATGTATGTATTGTATACATACATATATGTTAGTGAAATTATTTGCTGGTATTACTATTGAATACATTTTTACTTTGAAATTCAAAGATCGGTTTTTTTAAAAGTTTAGTGTGATATTTTATATCCGAAAAACTGCACTTTTTCATTCTTAAACGCTGATTATATTATCGATGAAAAATGCAGTTTCTGTCACGTACAGATAGGGCACCAACTTTTTAATAATTAAGTAAGGAACGAAAACTACAAAAGGGCTTAAGGTAAAAGCACCAGTACGTGAACACTTTTTCCATAAAGTCTTTGTTTTCTCATTTTTATTGAATTTCTGATTTGCATAACAATAAAACAGTCATTGCGCCAGTAAGTTTATATTTTTTCCTTTAAAAAAAAAACAAAAAGTTTTTCTAGGTCATGTGTACAATTAATGAATTAATTTTAAAGTTTTTTTACCAATGACCCAGTAGATGAACAGTGTGTTCAGGTATTGGTACCGATACGTATTTTTGACCGAGTACTTGAACATCCCATGTTAATTAAATGGGAGAGAGGTTGTGTTAGCTGCCTTCTACTGATTTCTATTTTTATTATATATTGCAAATAACCAAATCGAACAATTTCTTTCTAATTTCATTGGTAACATATTATGAAAACTATAACGACTGGCTTGACATACTATAATTATTGATTAACAGTGATTTCAATCGTTTTTATGTGTTCGAGTACTGGGCATAGGTAAAACCTAATGGTACCAGTACCTGAACAGTCTCACAAGCCACCTCATACAAGTTGCACGAATAAATAATTTTTTTCTCGTTGAGTATAAAGACTTACTGAAATATTAATTTTGTTTTATCTAAAGAACGATCAAAGGATATCAGAAACATTTTTTTTTTTATCCACTTAAATTGATAATAGTTTATTTAAGCTATTCAATCTACTGGTGCAATTTTAGGAAGTGTTCACGTACTGGTGCTTTTACCTTACAGCAAAAAAAGGAAATAGCACTAAAAAATGTAAAAAAACTTTTTATAAAAACTGTTGATTAAAAAAATTATCACATGGCTATGATTTCCCTACGATGATCTTCTTGTTCAGTTAAAAAAAAAAGAATACAAAGAAATCACTTGAAATCTTGCTCACGGCCAAATAACCATCTTAAAATCGTCATCTAGCCTTTTCTCTTAGGATACACACTACAAGATGTATATTTTTTTTAAAACTCTTCGTTACATTACGCAAAAGATTAATTTTAAATATTTTTAAAACGAAACGTCGATTTTTTTTAAATTTTCAGTATGTTAGATTAGCCCATGATACAAAACCAGAGCCAATTGTTCAACTACTATGTCGTGAATGGAATCTGGGACTACCAAAGCTTCTTATAACTGTGCATGGTGGCCGCTCTAATTTTGAATTACAACCTACTTTGAAGAAAGTTTTACGAAAGGGTTTGTTAAAGGCTGCAAAGACAACTGGAGCATGGATATTCACGGGTGGAACGAACACAGGTGTGTAAAACTTATGTTTAAATTTCATGACAAATTTTATTACAGTAAAATAATATCTTATTTATTAAAAATTTCTTATGGTTTGTTTTATTTCCTACAATAGAACTAATAAATCTAACTAGAGAAATTTAACCGTAAAGATAATAGCAGTTCCAAAGGGAAACGAGTTACAAATTGAGATAGTACTACCATTATGTAATGTATTCTTTTAGCCATGGAAAGCAACAATTTTAAACTAATAGGAGCAGTGATATAAGGCACGTAGTGGTTTGCATCACATAGAAACTGTATGTTACGGTGCTCCTCCGAACCTTCATAGGCTACTGAATCAGAGAATGAGTGTCTCTGTTGCTCGTCAGCGGTGTGTATGTAAGGGAAAAAATTAGTGTATGGGCCAAAGGGGTTTCGCCACCTATCGAGGTTCCTTAGAACACTAAGGTTTTCTAGACGTATTTTGACCTCCTGAATCGAATTCTGTAAAGTGTTTGGTCATATCAGGTGTTGCTTGGTTATTATTTACAAATTCAGTTTTAAAATACTACAAAAAGTTAAAAAATTTTGTTATTTTCTTACAATAGACATATAGCTATTTTCCAATGTAAAATTATAATTTTTCATTTCATTCGTTTTCTATAATAACTTATAATTTAATATTAAAATTCACCCGTGCTTAACTAATTTTTACTGATCTCACAATTATTGAAAAGAATATAGGTTTTGGTCACACGACAATTTTTCTCATAACACATTATAGAGAACAGAAAATAAATCAATTTACAAGTAGGATATGGAGGATGTAACTTTGCCTTTGAGATATGACTTATTTTTTTTAGAATCATTACGATTATTTATATGAATCTGTGTTACATATTTTTGCACCTCAACAGTTATTTTCAATACATAGAATTATTTTTGGCCTATCTGGCTTCCTTTTCGAGATAAGACTGTTTTTCTAATTTTGGGAGTTTATATTGTAACAAAAGATTTTCGAAGATTCTCTCAACGTCTGTATTAATTTTCCAAACATGCCATACTAAATAAAAAAAATTTTTTGACTTGTTATTTTCAAGATACAGTCAAAAAATTAAGAAATTTCAACCCCTCTCTATTTGTGCACCTTGATCATGTAGATGTGTACTACAAGATTGGAAAAAATAAAAACATGGATTGCGACTGTAATAACACAGCATATATGAGTGCATATACATGCTTGCACTTGTGTGGAGCTTGAAAAACACAAGTACTGCTTACATTTATCTATTTCTCACACAGAGCGCGCGGTAGCTCGGTCGGCTAGGTCGTGGATTGGCACGCAGGAGACCGTGGTTCGATTCCCGGCCAGTGCGACTTTCGGGCAAGTACCTCTGTGAGTCTCACATGTGCTTTTTCACCACGCAATGCTCATTGAGGAGGGTCTAGGCAACCTTCACGCAGCAAAAATTGCCTAATTTCCTCCTACCCCCCCTCCCAGTAATAGGAGGCCTCCCATCCCTCTTTCCCTTCCTTCTCCCAAGTGCTAAGTGCCCATAGTAGTGCCCTTATTAAAAGGAGCCGGACGTAGAGCACTGTAATATAAAAAAAAAAAAAAATCTATTTCTCACAACACAGTGTTCAATAAATGTGAATACTCATGACAGGTTAGTTTAACTTTTACACATTTAAATTACGTTTCCGTGGATTACTTGTGTCTTGTGCCCTTTCAGCTTTGCACAACTGTTAGCATGTACATGCACTCATATTATATGCTGTGTTATCTCAGTCACAATCCATGTTTTTGTTTTTTCCAATCTTGTAGTACACATGACAACACCAAACAAAATTTATTACAATACACTAACATAATACACACTTAAATCACTGATTCGTTTGGCTAATTCACTCTTAACCTTTTTTCTTAATTTATGAAAAAAATTTCCTATGAGGCTCTGTACACTCTGGCGATCTCAGCGAGGGAAAATTTCTCTCACTCGATGGCGCCACCTGACATAGGCGCATAGTGAATACCTATTACCGACACGGTGGCGCAGCGGTAAAGTTGCAGTCTCGTCGATCTCCGAAGTTAAGCTGCATTCGGCGTGGTTAGTACTTGGATAGGTGACCGTCTGGTGATCGTTCAAGTCTCGCCGTTTTGCCTGTACTTTGATTCTCGAGAGTCGATTAACCATTTCTCTTTCGCTTTGACATCGTGATCATGGGTCTGACTATAAGTTGGTCCAGATGTTTATATGCGTATAAACATCTGGTCATAACTAAGATGCACCGATGGCTGAAAAACACTGCTGAAAAACACTATTCTTGTGTAAAAAAGCCATATTTGTGCCTAAGGGCGATGATGAACAATAAAAAAAAACATAGAGATAGAGAGAAAAGCTATATCATATATAAAGATAGAGTAATTGCAGCGCACTATTGTGCGCATGCGAGAGGGAGAAAGAGGAAGGAAGGAAGACAGACTAACAGATCCTCTGCCTGCAGCGCAGCTGGTATTGGGAATATCCCGAGTAAAAAAATGTTAAGGGAAATGAATGATTAGATTCAGACTTGATCCATTATATTGATGAAGCCCTGGATCCATTGTGTTCGCAGTTTTGGATCCATAATGGGTCTATTTTAGCTAAAGTACTAAACCTACTGGATGATAAGATCACGTGATACGTATACGTGTATACACACACAATATATACTGGCCAACTAGCTGCCTTACGAATAATATATATAATCTTGCATGCACAATTAATGTGTGAAGCCATGACTTAAGTTATAAATTAACCTTTGAAAAATTCACACCGTTAACGCACTACAGTTAATACTGTTTATGTTAAGTATCGTCGGAAAGTCTAAATAATAAAAATCCTGTGATTGTAAATGAAAGTAATAACGTTATGTTACCCGGCAAGTTGAGTAAAAATATCAAAAACCAAGCTGGCTGTATATATTGAATGATTGAAGTTTTAGAGTGTACAAATTAGCTATTTGTTTAACCAGGATTTACTGTCTGTAACAAATTGGATTGCTACTAAAAATAACTTTGACAAGTCGATAAACGAAAGCTAGTTTTGTTTTATTACAGATATTCCTTTTTACTTTTAAATATAAAAGAGTAAAAGAATTGAATATTTATTTGTTTATACTAATTTGTTCAATAAGTTCTATTTTTTTGTACGGTTTCAAATTACAATCATTGTCAATTAGTTATTTTATGACATAATTTCTACAATATAAATGTCAATACTGTTTTGCACAATACATGACACGCTGAATAATACAGCATCTGGATCAAGGCTTGATCCATTTTTTATCAATTATCTGTAAGTCCAGCTGCCTAGATCTATTATTGATCCAAAACTGCGAGCATAATTGATCCAGCCTTCATCCATTTAATGTATCCAGGCTGGATCCAAAGTTACAGTAGATGGATCCAGACTGGATCCAAACTGTCGGTTCATTTCTACTCGGGATGCCTGTACCACTTGGCACGTCGATATGTATATATGACTACTGGAAAAAAAGTAGTATAGTCTTTATGGGAGACATTAAGTTTTTTCTTCGTGGTGGAAAAGGTGTTAAACACAAAAAGTTTCTGTAGTAAATATTTTTAACATTGTAAGAGTTCAGTTCTTTTTTTTTTTATATATAATGAGATCGTTTATTAAGGCTGAAAACATATTTTTATAGGTACAAAGTATAGTTTAACCCAACGTAAAGCTGCTTATTTACCTCTCAGCAGGCACAACAGCAACAGCAGCAGCAGCAGCAGCAGCAGGAAATGAATAGCTCATTGTATGATTAACTGTACTTCATACGTTTAGAACTCTGTTTACCGCCTTAATAAACGATTTCATCGTTTAAAAAAAATAACAACCTAACTCTCATTATGTTAAAAATATGTAATTCAACAAATTTTTGTATTCAACACCTTTTCCACCACGAAAAACAATAAAAACTTAATTTCTCCTATAAGGCCTGTACTACTTTTCCTCCAGTAGTCATATATATACTAGCGGCCCCCCCGTCTCGGCTTTGCCCGAAACTCACTAAATGGAATACCGTAGTCTGTTGACATGTAATGTGAAACGTTTTTAGTTAAAAATTTTACATCTCTTTCTGATACTTCTCGAAACAAAAATCTTCTAATTAAAAACATATTTATTCAGAATCTATACAGTTTATTTGGTCAAATAATGAGCTGTAAAAATTGAAAAAAATATAATTATGCTGAAGAGGTGCATTCCTTATGCCATAAAATAATCGTTGCCCATAAGGGGCCGTTGATTTGCAGTTTCTCCCATATAATTTACAAAAAGGGCTATTTTTACAGCTGTTAAGATTTAAAACTCCCAAAAGATATGTATTAAAAAAAAACATTTTTTTCTCTTATCTCAAAACTTTATTACCAGAGCAACAAAATCCTGAAGCTTAATGTATACATTTTTTATTGCCACAAAATTACAAAAACATTTTCTACTTATTAAAAAATCTGAATTTAGATCTTCAAAGATTTAAAAAATTATTGTGAGGGTACAAGGAAAAGCTTATCTCTCACGTAATGGATTTTTGTTGTTGTCGATTTTGACGCTGCTGTTCCAATCTCGAAAATACTTATAATGGCCCTGAAAGGGCCAGTGGTGAAACTTCCAGTTATTCCTTATTATTATTCTTGATGATGGAGAGCCAGCTACGGGTATCTTGACTCTTATCCTTGGAGTCTCTGTGTACGGAGACCGTACTGGAGGTACGCCACTGACCAAAAAATATCTCGTCTTCAGGTCGTTCCCTAGATAACCAACTGCTCATCGTTAGTAGGGAAAGTAGGCCTGGAGAATACCTTCCCTGTAGGTTTACCGTTGGGACGACCTCTAAGAAGAAGGCCGTTGTGGCTGCCCGTACTCTTCAGGGCTGTTTTCCCTGGCTTGAATTTGAAGTAGATATTTCTCTGACGGCACCAGGGCGAATGGTTTAACGGCCACAAAACTCTTAAGCCTTTGAGGAGGTCTGGCTGGATAAGTCTCCTGGTATTTCACCGAAGACGTTGACTTTTCAAACACCTATTTTTCCGTGACACTCGATTATCTTGGTGATCCGTGGTAAAAATCGATTTAATTTGCTTGCCCATGAAAGAAGAGTGTCATTGGCAGACGAGATGCCCAGATGCACGGTTAACGACTCTATTGTAGGTTTTCTGCCGACGAACGACTTTGACAATCTACATCTCGATGGGTCATCTTATCACCACTCTTCACTATCTCAGATTGTGGGTGGCTTCAATTTTACCTCGACGCCACCTAGCGTATCCTATTGAACTAAAGCGCAAATCTACATTATTTTAGCAACACTTTGAGCTTATTTATCACTATAGTTATTGATTTTCTCAAGAAAAAAACTATGCGAAAACCATTTCGGAATCATCAAGAATCAGTATGCAAAATTTCAGCAAAATCGTGGTAGTTTTCGTGGTTAGCGATTACAACAGTTTTAGCGACTTTTCTTTATATATATATATATATAGGGAAATGAATGATTAGATTCAGACTTGATCCATTATATTGATGAAGCCCTGGATCCATTGTGTTCGCAGTTTTGGATCCATAATGGGTCTATTTTAGCTAAAGTACTAAACCTACTGGATGATAAGATCACGTGATACGTATACGTGTATACACACNGTATTGACGAAAGTGAGTCTGAGCCCCCCCCTCCGCTCCCCTCAGTTCCCCCTCGATTTACGTAGTTATTTGCTTGTTTTAACGTCATTTTTAATCAAATTGTATTTGAGTGAGCTCCCCCTCCACCTTCCTCCCATTGAAATACTTATTTATCTAATGTTTTACCATCATAAATGTTAAAAAATATACGCAATTTAGTACCTAAGTCATACCTCGTTCTTAGGGTTTTTTGAGTCACTGATCATAGGTCTCCCTCTGTCTATTCGCTTCCCCTTACTCACTATATGTCTCTGAAGTACCATTATTTGTTTAACTTGATTGAACTTTTATTTACATTTCAAATCTCTTTCTGGTCCATGTTTACTTTACCAAAATATAAAATTCTTGATTACTTGAGGACTTTGTTATGTAAAAGACGGAATTCAGGAGGGAGTATAATTTAATAGACAAACACAATTGAGCTTTTAAAACAATAATTCATTCTGTTAGCTTAATGTTGTGACATTTTATGAGTCATTTTAACCCATCTGTTCTTTTAAAACCCTTTCCACATTTTTCACATATTTGTTTTTCATGGTTTTTATGAATTAACATACGTCTGTTTTAATGTAACGATCTTCAAAGTTACATATTTTTGAACTACTGAAAAAATTCTAGCTAACCAATATTTTTAATTTCTGATTTATTCTCCGATGCAATTTGAATAAGAATTCTTTTTGGATTCTTACATCTTAATAAAGCAACGTATAATTGTCTGTAAGAGAATAAAGAATTTTTAATATACAATCCTAAAAAATAAAAATTCTGTTTTTCTGATATTTTAATAAATATAGAACATGCTAATACAAAAGGAAACTGTTTTCTATAGTAGACAAAAGGTAATGATAATAAGGTGCCAGTATTTAATGTTATCCTAGGAATATAAACTCTGCTTTTTTTCCCATAATTATTTCTGCTTCTATATTATACTTAAATAATTTTGTTATTTTTAATCTTGTGCATCTACAGAGACCGTCTGATATATTTAAAGTTCTTATTAACACTACTGTAGCATTTATTTTTTATTTTAATTCGTGTAATGGAAGACCCTCTTTAATATTATTTTAAAATACTGTTGGAAAATTAATATTTATGTTAAGTTAATCATATGTTTCATCAACTCCTTTGTGAGTCACATATTCTGCTGTTGTGAACTAATTTTCAGCCTGCATTGATAAATACACGAGTAATGTCGTTAATTTGTCTACTCAATCTGTTAGTGGGGGGTTGGCGCGCAGAGCGCGCAGGGGGGCGTTAGCCCCACTAGTACATATATCGCCGTGTCACGTGGTACAGGCATATTCCCAATACGTAAAGATATATATAGATACATAAGTGCACAGCAGCGTTCGCTCGCTCGCTCGTTTCACGGGTTAACTCCCCATATAAGGCACGCCTAAAGAAATTTCACTTTAAAAAAAATTGTTTACATTACTGTATGCTTGATACTGGAGGTCATACGCATGGTTGCAGACATCCAAGTGGTATAAAGGTAGCGTGAAGGAACTTATTGTACTAATGCGAATTTGCATCATGTTATATTTATTTACGATTGTCATTATACTAGAAAAATTATGAGTTACACAAATATTCTTTGCTTACAAACATACGTGCACGTAGATACATTAAGAAACCCACAAAAAATATCACATTTTTGCCCCTCATTTTAAGGAGGTTTAATACATATTGTCAGTAATGGTTGAGAGATCTAATTTAATTTTTGATTCATTCTATTCGTTATAAAAAATAAAAGTGCATTTCTTGGGCAATCTCAGCCATGTAGTTATTAAGGTATTTCGAAATAAAAAATGAACAGCTTAACACTGGCTGTTATGGGATAATTGTTATGGCATAAAAATAACATACCTTAGTAATAGTTAAAAAATAAAAAAAAATGCTTTTCGATTCTATAAATACTGTGGAATCATATGATATTTTCTGACTTTTATTTTTATATACATGCTAATCAAAGAGAAAATCATGATTTTTAAAATAAAAATAAAAACTTTGGTTAGGTTTATAAGATTAATGTATTAATGCCATAGGAATAAACTGTATTACATTCTGTCAGTAATACTCTGAGCTTCCCATATCCCTGATCCTGCTTTGTGACCCCACTGAAAGATTGTATCGAACCTTCTTAATAAAAGAAATGGTTTGAAGTACACCCTTGCAACTGAGCTTTCACCAGTAATATCATATACTATGAGGAAAAAAGTATAAACACGGGTTTCAGTGAGGGTGACACTTCCGCTATTTACATATTAAAATTATATCTGTACATATCACATGTGTAGATAGAGTTATTGTACGCTAATTTGTTAATAAAAATATTTAAAAACAGCGTATCGCCCTTTTTTTAATTGGTATAAAATTAAAGCTCTTGTAGGTGTAATTGGTTTCCTAATTATAACGTAAAAACTTACTAAGTCATTTTCAATGTAATGTTTGATATTGCAAATATTATTGTATCTTTTTTTTTTTCAAAGTCAAAATTTACACAAAATTTTTCACTTTATTATAGCTTTTAGTATTCTTAATAATATACATCCGGAATTTTAGGTTTATCTTTTTTTCATCAGGATAGCTTTTTACATTTCAACATTAAGTATGGTTTTATGACGCTATTGTTAACTCAACAACAAGAGCCTTGTGCATCGCTTGAAACCTTCATAAGAATTGTCAAATCCTAAATTTTAAAGCAGTTTTGTTAAAAAATTTTGAAGGTATAAATGCTTTAAAAATGAAATCCTAAATGATGATTTTTGCACATATTTGCATTACAACTTCACGAAAAAACGATTTGCGATAATCTAATCAACGTAGATCGATATATAATCAAATAAGAAATAAACGTTTGAGCTATTTTTTAAAAACAACTGCAAGAAAAAAATTTATAATTGAAAGAATGAAAAAAAAATTTTTTTTTTCAGTATTTGTTTAATAAAAGTTTAAGCACATGCTTTGGTTAGACAAAACAACTTTTTTCAATAATGGGATCGTATTTTAAAACAATTAAAGCAGGTTCTGGGTTATTATATGATTTTGATTATATTCGCTATTATTTTATATCTCGCCTACCAGGTTATATCAGGGGCTTATTTATTCGATACTGAGAGGTTAGAATATGTACATTCCAATAAGTTTTTTTGTTTAAAATATGTCGAAAAATGTTGTCAAACTTTTTGTCGGGATCATAAGTTTTTTGATTGGGCACATAAATGTATGAGTACGTTGGTATGAGTAAAAAAAACATTCTAGGATAAATTGTTTGTCTATAAAATGGTTTAATAAATGTGAGTTCGATAATAATTGAGTAAATAATTAAACTGTACTTTAAACTTATGTATAAAAGTATAGCTTACAAGGATTCTGTATGCTTGGTCCTTACATTCACGTGAACATTAAATTTATATCCTTACTGTCATGATCCAAGTCCATAAAGGAAATTTCTCCTCATTCTTGAAAAAAAAAATTTCCAAGAAACTTGTAAAATATTCGTCAATGTTCTTTGTAGATAACAACTGATTAACTATACGAATTCTTGAAAGTATACATTACTGAGAGAAGCTTGTAATGCGGTGGGAGCATATTTATCTAATAAGAAAAGAGTTTCATGTATTTTCTCCCTAACTATAGCTCTTACCTTTTACATAAATTGTACTTGACATGCATACATTTATGGTATCAACATTAATATACTGAAAATTGTAACTTTCTATTAAAAATATTGAATTATTAATTAATCCTATAACATTATTTTAAATTTATTCCAACAAAAAATTTTATTATCTGATCAATACAGGTGTGACAAGACAAGTTGGAGATGCTCTACTATTAGAAAGATCTCAAAGACAAGGTCGAGTAGTTAGTATAGGCATTGCACCATGGGGAATATTAGAGAAGAGTCACGAGCTTATTGGACGTGGAAGAGAAATTCCATACGATTCACTCGCGTCCCCTTGGTAATTGAGTAAATTTTTTTTTTGTAAAATAATACGTACGCTTACTGTTTTTAATTGCTGGATTGTCTTTGAAACACCCTTTACTATGTTTTACAGGTCAAAATTTGCCGTCTTAAACAACCGGCATGCCTATTTTTTATTAGTTGATAATGGAACTGGTGGTCGATATGGTGCTGAAATTGTACTTAGAAGAAAGCTTGAAAAACACATATCAAATCTGAAACTTCAGCCTTGTAAGTATACTTGTCTAGTAATTTTAAAGGGCTTTGGCGTGTCATATAATTTTAATTATAAGTATCACAATTATTAATAAACTTATCACTTCAATTTTCTTACATGGTCCATGTACACATGCAACAATCATATACTGTTAAACATCTTTGTACAGTTCTCACAGTTCTTAAAATAATTGTTTCAAGTCCATATTATAATAGTTTTTGTTTTTAATGCATGTACTTTTACTAAACTTTAAATATGAAAAAAATCCTAAACTTAATTTACTGTTTCTAAATTATTCAATATTGATTAAAGTTACGAACAGACATCCTTTTTTACATTTTTTATAGATACGCACAGCAGTATACCAGTGGTAGCATTAGTAATTGAAGGTGGAACAAATACAATACGATCCGTGTTGGAGTACGTAACGGACGAGCCACCCGTACCCGTAGTTGTATGCGATGGTTCTGGTCGAGCTGCTGATCTCATTGCCTTTATGCACAAGTAATATTTCATTTCAATACATTCCAAAATTTTTATTCTACTCAAATCACTTTAATCATAAAAAAAAATGGAAGTAATGCTAAATAAATCTATGTATTTTTATTAAAAATTACTTACTTTAAGGCTTTCAGTATTGCCTCACCAGATTTTTAAATCAAAAAAATCTAAGCTTAATTATTTATCTTTTTTATTAAGATTGTAAAACTTTGTTCCCATTACCAAGACATTATCTATTTATATGTGATAAAAATATTGAACACACGATAATGAGTCAAACCATATTTTTTTTCTCTTTTGAAATCTCAAAGTGGAAAGGTGTTCTTACATAATAAATTCTTAATTTTATTTGCGAAAATATTTCAAGTAGAAACTTCACTACAGATGCACATTTAGTGTATAAAAATAATTTGTAGTAATAAAAGTTATTATGTGGATTTTTTCAAATTTATAACAAATATTTTACGGTCATAAGTCTAAATTTTGAAAAAAGTTAATTAAAGATGCATGTATGTTGAGATTTGTGCAAATTTTTTTAAATTATTACAATTTATCAATGTTAACCCTGTTTAAACGCTCTATCTAGCCAGAGAAACTCAAGGGGTGAGTTCAAACTCCATCAAAAGTTGTGGAGATTTTTTTTATCCGATTTTTAAAACGAATAGTGAATTTTTCTGGTAATGTCTGGACCTCTAAGGGCTTTTTTTTCAAGGGAAGCCAACACCTGGCTAGTTCATCGGGTAAAATCACTGTCGGTAATAAAAAGGTTGCTTCAGCGAGTTAAATGGTAAAAAAAAAAAACCTTCAACTAAAATTGACAATAGCTTGGGTATGCTAAAGACGATCGCTGCGCCCTGTAAATAGTACCCAGTAGCAAAGATGATTAAGTCGTCTGAGGAGAACTCTACAAGGGGCCCGCACGAAAGACTCGCATACTTAAAATTAGGGTAATTAGAAAAAGAAGGAACAAGAATGGAAAGATAAGGGATATAGGGTACGTGAAAATCCAGCTAATGGATGTACGTGGAATCCAAAATACTATATCATAAGCTGTAGTAAAACAACTAATTTTTTTATACATTAAAATGTGTTTTTTAATTTTTAGAGCATAAAGTAAGTTTTAGAACAATGCATAAAAATAAGAAAAATTTATATTTTTAAAAGATATACAAAGTTTGAACGGAAAAAAATTTATTGACAATCTCTAAGGGACAATTTATGTTGTTGATCAAATAACTGTTTTTCCAATATTTTACAATATTATTTTTGAATGATTGTGATTGTTCCTAAGAGGTCACTGATAACTTTGTTCTCATTTTATAAATAAAATAAAGAGACACTAGGCTCATACAAATAATCTCGAACTTTAGCATTCACAACTGTGTTAAAATGTCGATTTTATAAGGGCATTATATAAAGGGTCGATTATGTAAAGGGCAAAAATCTTTTTTTTCATCGTTTTCAAATTTTTATTGCATTATAAATCATTAGAATTACAATTTAGATAATAGTGCACAAAACTAAAAAGTTGTATTTTAACAAGATCCACAACTTTTTCAATGACACAAATACCTTTAGTAGTAGTAGTTTTCGTCGGATAAGTTCCATCGTCTCTGGGGCTATTTTGTGGCACTGGCTATTTTCCGACTTCGAGCGGTTTTGAGGGTCGGGTGTGCCCTTGGTAGGAAAAATAGGATTTACCACATAAGTGCCATCGCTCCGCGGCTACCTTACGCAAAATAGCCCCAGAGACGATGGCACTCAACCGACGAAAACTACTATTTTCACCTTCTAACTTCAAAATAGCACTTTCGCCGCTTGATTTTGGGTTCTCAGGCGGAAAAATAGTATACCTACGAAACTCGTTCGAAAAGGCTTCTTTACGAACCTCGTTACGGTCCTCGCCTTCGGCTTGTGCCGTAAACCTCTCGGTTAGTAAATCGAAGCCTTTGCCAACTCGTACGTAATATACTAAATTTTTCCGTCTACGTAAGTGGTCAAAATTTCTATATTTTCGAGATTTACACTTTTCCTTAACTGTGTGTTAACCAAAATATCTATTTCAAAGTTACATGCAAAAAACCAATTTGGGGCATTTTTGCAATCTTGGGGCTGATGAAATTTTTCCCTTCGACAAAATTTTCTGAATTTGAAACTGTCAGATTGGGGTATGAAGATAAAGCCACAAAACAAGTTTTAGCCCAATCGAATGTAAAGTTTTTAAGATAATCGAATTACATGACTTCACAGATAGTGGTTACGCTGTTTGCTCTGGCAAAAATATAATGCACTTATGTGAATTAGTTATCCCTAAAAACTTAATTGTTTACACATTAACATACATAAACTATGTGATTAACTCAGATCACCCTCATTACTACATACTAAGTTTAAAATTTGTTTTATATCGAAAATAGACCATTTGTTTAAGTGATTACACTTTTTGTTCTGACAAAAACATATGGCACCCCCAATATATTTGTCATACCTGAAAATTAATGAATCCTGGTAATCTAATGACCATCTAAAATATTAGAGAATCAGTATATTTTAGCTTAAAGCATGATTAATTTTTTATCTATTTATACATATATTACTATATCAGTGTTTACATTTGATCCGAGATCAGTATCTCTCTTTGTACGTCTTTTATTTTTATTTTCAACAGTCTTTTACATTGAACAGTCAATTTTTCTTTTTTTTTTTATGTTTTTTTTTTTTTTTTGTCAATACTTTATTTTTACTTCAAGTCTACGTCTTCGTTTTTAAGGTGGCTCCTCACTAAATCAAAACACTGGAGTATTAAATGATATTTTAAAGGATGATTCTTGAAGGTGCAAGGAGTCCTTTCCCAAAATTTTAGACCTTGTCACCACCAAAATTGTTGAAAAAAACTAACTGGAAAAAAGACTCTGTATAACATAGCCTCCTATGGAGGGTCGTCAAATTGGTGGCGCAGGTTGTATGATATCTCAGCAAAGATACTGTAGTTCTTAATAGAAAACTATGTAGCAGATAGAAGAAATCAGAATCTTTCCAACGACATTCAGGTACTTGGAAATTACCATGGGTTTTATAGGATATTTTGTGAAAATAGTAGATAACTGTGCAAGTCACGGAACAGATGAAAAGTGTGGGGCGTCTGCTACACCGAAGAGCGGTAGCCCGCGTAGTTTGAATTGGTCAGAAAGTTGTACGTTAAATGAATAGGAGTTGTGGGGAATCGTAATTATAATAAAAATACATGAGACGCTGAACTAAGAAAATAATTTAATTCGCGGCTGACTTATGTACTTTTTTGACTAATAGATAAAATTAATAGAATATGTCACGATAAAGTTAGGACACGGTTGTATTTACTCGTCACTAATAAATAACTTGTAGATTTTTTCTAAAGTTTTTTTGTCTTTGGTCACCCGTGGCTTATTATTAACATTTTCAGAGAGTAAAATGCGGAGACCCTCTTTACCGTTTGTGCTGAATGCTTCTTGTAAAACGGTATTAGTAATACCAGTTTCTGCCATTTTGTTTATTATTCTTGAAGATAAGTTGTCTTTGTAGTGTAATAAAGTACCTTTATTCTGTACTTTAAGTACTTTCAATTTCTTTTCTTCAGCGATAACCAATATACTTTTTGCGTGACTTTTGACGGTTTCCTCAGACTTCCTTTTTTTTTTCCTCTCGTACGACGAGCAGGACGATTTGTCGGGGGCATTGTCTTTTTTGTTAGGTACTTATCGTCAGCTTATTATTATTTACATACAAGGGTTATGTTGTCAGATTTGTATACATACGTCTGCTCAGGTCACTGTATTGTACGATGTAGGTCAACGGTGTAGATGTGACTATACTTTTTTTGAAGGGACTATAGGTACCTATCCATTTTTAGTCAAGAACCTCCACAGCCAATGAAAAGCTGTGTTGCAGTATGCTTACTCTTCTTGTGGGATTTATAGTGAGGAGCCACCTTAAGATATTATCTTATTTATTAAGAATTTCGTTTTTTAAAGTCTCTAGTTACTTTTCTTTGTTTTTCGTCTCCTTAACTCTTTAAGTTTTTACACAGCCAAATTTTCGTCTTGTAGATGATACTTGCTGCAGACATAGCTGTAGAATTTAGAAAATGAAACCATCTACATGTTTTGCAAAAAAAATCGTACTATTATCCTACTTATTTAAAAAAGTCTAAAACAACTTAACGGCAAACTTCAAAAATATCTGTTAAACAACAATTGGTTTTAAAATATTACAATTGGTATGACTTCGTTTTTGATGATAATTATTATACATTATAATTTATTATTTTCGCATAATTTAAATGCTTTTCAATAGAATAAAAATGTGTAGTAACGACAAAATTTGTAGTGTTACCATTTAATACCTACACATTATCAATTTTAAAGTGAAAAATTATATTAACAAACATTATTAATTAGTTAAAATTTTTTTAAAACTTTTTCCTTGTACTCTTTTAGAACTGGAGTTTTTTTGTATACTAAGCGTATTGTCTGTTGAGAGATGGATTTGGAGTTCCATTTTGCCAGACACATAAATTTTATCAAAAATTTTTGACAGAGAAAAAGAAAAACTGTAGAGTAGAGAGAGATCTTAGCTGTTAAAATTATTGATAAAACGTATTAAACATTTCTGTGAAATATAATGAACAAAACACATTTTTATTACTTCTTTTCTCTATCTTTTCCTCTGTCATAATAAATGAATATAAAAATAGACATTATTTGTTAAGGAAATATTAAGTACTTCACGTCTTAATAAACATTGTACTTATATGACAACACTTCCATAATAATTCGAAATATTCTACTTATTCCTTTCACTAATTTCAGATATGCATCTGAAAACGAATCCGAAGAAGAAGAAGGACCCCTTGAAAGTATGCGTGACCATTTATTAGACACGATAAAAAGAACGTTTAAAGTATCTTCAGAACAGGCCAATCAACTCTATTTAGAATTGCTTCAGTGTGTACGAAAAAAGCACTTGGTATGTCATGACAAAGCTCAAGCCGTTTTAATGACTAACATATTATTTAATGTTATGATTTATGATTTTTAGATAACAGTTTTTAGGATATCCCAAGATACGCCCCAGGAATTGGACCAAACTATTCTGACGGCTTTGTTTAAATCACAACAGTTAACACCAGCTGAGCAACTTTCACTTGCTCTCATTTGGAACCGCGTCGACATTGCACGCAGCGAGATCTTCGTCTACGGACAAAAATGGCCTCCTGGTGCTCTCGAGCAGTCAATGATGCAAGCTTTACAACACGACCGCATTGACTTTGTTAAGTTACTCTTAGAAAATGGAGTCTCGATGCGCAAGTTTTTGTCCATTCCAAGATTGGAGGAGCTTTATAACACGGTTGGTTTTAGATACAAGTACTTGTCTGGCTAGAATATTGAAAAAATATTGATCAAAACTCATAAAACACTGCCTAACTTAAAGTGAAGTTTGATCTTAACATCCAAGTTATTCATAGGTATGTTCTCTTTTGTACTGTAGAAAGAAGGACCATCAAATACACTGGGGTATATACTGCGGGATGTCCGACCGCACATTCCTCGTGGCTACATGTATACGCTGCATGATATTGGCCTAGTAATCAATAAGCTTATGGGTGGTGCATACCGCTCGCAGTACACTCGCAAAGAATTCAGATTCCTATACACACGCGTTATGAAACGCTCAGGTGGTTTTCAACAACACCCCCACCGTAACAGCTGTGCCTTGGGCCTCAACAGCCGCTCGTTTTCTAGCTCTGGGGGTAAATCCACGATGAGTCTGCTCGCCGAAACGATTCCTGCGACTCAAGAAACTGCCTTATTTGATTACCCTTTTAACGAGTTGCTTATATGGTCAGTTCTGACTAAAAGGCAGCAAATGGCCTTGCTGATGTGGCAACATGGCGAGGAAGCTTTGGCGAAAGCTCTCGTAGCTCTGAAACTATACAAGGCTATGGCTCACGAGGCTGCAGAAGATGACCTGGAGACTGAAGTTTACGACGAGCTCAAGGGCTATGGCAAGGAATTCGAGAATATTGGTAAATCGTTTTCAAATTTATTTTACTTATTTTATTATTCTGGCTAAGTTCCGGAATTTAATCAAAAACTAATTTTCTTACTATATAAATTTTATTTTGCTCAATATTCCACATTTTTGTTCTACAAATACATTAAAATATGAAAACTACATCTTTTAAGGTGGCTCCAGTGGCCTCAATGTTAAAATTATAAATAACCCAACCGAGGTTAATAAAATTTAATTATATTCTTTGAATTCCCATCTTTCTATTCGTATAAAAAAAAATTAAGGTTGACGATGAAAATTGTAAGAAATCATGCTTACAAAATCGTAGTTTTAAGACGGGTTAGATAGGAAATGCAAGCTTACGCGATATACAACCTACTGCTGCACTTATATGAATAACCTGTAGGGTGTAAAAAATATACTATCTTGTATATATTATTACGCAGTTTTCGATGACATGAGAAAAGTGTCTTGTTATCGAACAAAATCTTTAAATAATCGGAGACTAAGTATACAGTTGCGAGTGCAAGTCAGCTCTCAGCTGTCTGCATTCTGCAGAGTACATATATATATATATATAGGTATAACTACTCTTAAACTTAGGAGCGTACCGCAACAGTTCATCAATTAGGGCACCAGAAAACTCTTTTTTGTTTTTTTATATTAACTCACTAAAGTAACAGATAAAATGTAGAATATGGCTTACAACAGTCTCTACGATAATTTTATACCATATTTTAAAGAAAATAATGATTAATTTTTAGTATCCCCATTTTGATACGGTACTAGGCGCTGGAGCCACCTTAACGTTAAGTTTACGTCTGTTTAAACAAACTTTTTTTTACCTACTCACGATGATAATTCTTAAGGTGGCTTGGGCGATTTTTATCGGCTTGATCAAAACCTCTGAGATCCTGGAATTATGTAAATAAAGCATGCCCAATTCATCTGCGATAAGAAAACACTGGGGTCAACGACTTAATTTTTTTTTGCAAATCGCTCCTGAAAATTTACCAGTTTAACACCTACTCTTATGGACAGTGGTCACAAAATCAACTATATCTTCGAAAATCTTTTATTAACCTTAAAAATTTATAATAGTTCTTGTGTATTTTTTTACAAAGAATCTACTGAATTCTTAAAAATATTGGGTCAACGACTTAACTTTAGAAAAAATCAGAAGAAAAGTATAAAATATTAATGTCTTGCCTCGCAACATCTCACAATTTTTAAAATTATAATTTCACGGTACTTTTCTGGCAATTTCTTCATCTTGTACTTTGGTTTTATCGAAATAACCATATTTATTGAATAATTTACCGTTGAAAAACGTTGATTTTTTAGGAGCCCTTATGGCACCCTAGCCTAGGTACGGTACTAACCACCCAAGCTCCCTTTAGTAGGTTTAAACATGCCTATATATATGAGTTACTATATATTTAAGTGAGCTGTATACAAACATTATTTTCGTCTGCATTACTAAGCATTAATCTATTTTATAGTTTAATTTTACTTAATTTTTACTTTATTATACCAAGAAAGAAGTATGTGTATAACAAAAAATAATAAAAAACGGAGAATGCATCTAAGAGGTTATTAGGGTGTCTGTACATGGGATACCTGCATTCTACAGACTGGCCATTACAGCTCATTAGGGTGAGGGCACAGTTTACACAATTGCGACACTCATTGCTGTAAGAGCGTACAGAATTTGATATATGCCACCATGTTCTTGATTGTGTCAGCAATATTAGAATATTTTAGTAATAAATTAAAAATATTACAGGTTAGTTACGCAACAGGTATTGTATTTAGTAAACAACTTTTTTCGGGAGTTTTTTAAATGAATTGTGAAACAATTACAAAAAATATAATTATAAAGGTTTTAATTAAAAAAAAAGGTTTTAATTTAGTAATATAAGCAAATTGATTTTCATTTGGCTTTTATTTTTTATTTTTCATACAAAGAAATAATTGAAAATTAAGATATGATGGTTAACTACAAAAAAATTTTATTTTAGAAAATCATTATAATGAGAAATGCTGATACTTTCATAAGACACTAATTGAATGTCCAAGGAATTAGTCATGATTCGGTATAATATTTAACATAATCTTTTTGAGTTTGGAAATTACTATTTATAAATTTAATTGTGTAAAATAGCCTGACTATAGCAAATAATATTACTAAATATTTATGGGGAAACCATTGCATGGGTGAAAAAATGGAACAATTTTAAATACATTAACGTATGACTGGATAACTTTAGTTGTCGAACAAAGTCATAAAACGTTTCAAAAAATTTGTTTTCCAACTCTCTTACGTATACAATAAAATCATCTGATGGCATGCATAAGTTACCAAAAATATTATCTTCTGAACTACCATACGCTCTGTAACAACAATAAACAGTATTTTGGTTTAGATTACTTTCTTCTTTGGCATAGGCCTCACACTTACACTTATTATAGCGATGTTGCTTTAAGCATTTTTTTAAGAGATATCCGCAAACAAATGTAAAAACATTTTCTTCAGAATTTTTTTAGTATCATTTTCCTCTATATCATCAAACATAACATTAATGAAACCGTCATAATAATAAGTATCATCATGCAATTTAAAAGGAGGTGTACTAAAATTATTTACATCTGAAAACTTAATTAAAATATTGTCATAATCAGTCACCTAGTTTCCACCTTCTCCCATACTTGAGTAGTTCATAAGAAACAATTTCTTGAAAGCATTTATAAACTGCTGAGGAGTCGGATTCAATGCATTACTGTTTTGAGCCGTTATAGCTCCGAAAAAAGATTCTGAAGCGTCTTGATTTATAGTATACTACGTACCTAGGCCAGAAAGTGGGGCCCCACTTTTTGGCCGTGGTACATATACTTTTTCCTTACACCTCCGCCGAAAGTTCGACACAAAAATTCATATGATTTGTACCCCTAGTTGTACTTATAATAATGATTCTTGTAACCTCTACCTCTGCACTGTATGCAGCGGCCATGCTCTTGTGACAGTCGATCATTTTATTTATAAGTCAATTTATGCTGATGTTTTTTATTTATTCATGGAAACACAAAAAAAAATAACTATAGCTATAAAATAACTATAAAATATCTCGCGCTGTCAAAGCAATAGTGTCTGATCACGGCATTCAATATACCGCATATTTAATTAAAGCATAATGGTTATGCGACGTTATTTGACTATTTAACACACAAACGTGAAAAAAATGAAGTAGTTTATTACTATAACATTGTGATATAACGTGTATTATTTAAATGCGTTTTATACAAACAAAATTCAAATAATTCGTTAACAAATTTTTTTTTTTTGCTTATGTTACTTGAATATGTCCAATAATTTTCTGTGTTGCATAAACTGTAAAGGTTATATGTCCGTTAGCCCTATATGTGTATAACATAACAGCTGCTGCTGCTGCTGCTGCTCTTCATCACATAATATATAACTATATATACCTGCGCACTGAGTTCTGCGCGCATAAGGTAGGACTGATATGAGGCTTTTTCTAGCTCGAAATCGGGTCAGAATTTTCGGTGCAGGTGTAAGGAAAAATATCGTGTAAAAAGATAGGAGAAACCATTATTTTTCAATTTTTCACATAAACCTTTGATCGTACGAATAGTAATTATTCATCTATCTAAGCAGTCTAAGCTATTCGTTACATCTTTTAACGTTCCATTGCTTTTCTTGAATACTTTTAAATTAGGAATTAAATTAATCATGTTATTTAAAAATTTGATTTGAAATTGCGACCCCATAAAAGTTTCTTTCTGTTTTTTGCTAATTGTAACGGATAAAGAATTACGCAGATCAAATAAGTTATCAAAACCGTGAATAAAATTCGACGAAATTATAGCATCTTCTTCAAAAAATTTCAATGAAATAAACAACTCTACGGAAGACGCCAGTTTTACTAATAGTTTGAGTAGCATGTTTTACTTTCCTTTTTGTAACACTGGTTGGATATGTATGTTTCACAGCAAGCTTGGGCGCTGGCAGATTTTTCATACTTTTTCTCAATTCATAAAGTTGTTTGATATATTTTCATGATGTAAATTTATTGCCAACAAGAAAAGAATTACTCATTAAATTGTTTCTTATAGCCTGTAGTAGGTAAGACACATAAAAAATATAGAAGCATCGTTCTCCATCGATTTAGAAAGTAGGGTCTTCTTTGGTAACACCAAGATTTTTAATCATTTGGATGAAATTTGAGCCCATACCGCTTACTACTGCTACAAGTTTTAAACTTTGGTTTTTCTAATACACTCGATAAAAATGTTTTGAACATTTTGGAAAGTGAATTGCGTATATAGCAAGTTTTAAAAAATTGGCTAATTCAACGAACTATTAATACCACGCACCGTACCTACAATCGCGCTACAAGCCGGCTTAACTTTTTTCTCACCACCTCAATGTAAAGAGAACAGTATTTATCACAATTGCTCAAGTTTTTAGCTTTAAGCTTTAATATATAAAATACACAATTATTTGTGCCACAGCCAAATGATCAGTCTTTGTAACGATCTAACAGATACCTAGCAGATTGAGTTTTTTTCTTATATTTTTGTAGGCTTTTGAACCTTATAAGGGCTTTTAAATAATATTAGTTTAAGCACAGCTAATTAAATCCTTTAGTATATCTGTGAGCTTGAGGCGTTTTGTTGGATCTATTGATTTGCGCTTTAACGAAATTGGCAGCTTTTAAGGGAAATACAGTTTTATTAATCAAGCGATTGATTTATTCCTGATCAAGTGAAACATCGTCCAAAGTTACAGTTTTTGATGTTGACTTTTGCTTAGTAGAAATTCTTTTTCGTAAACGTAGAATCTCATTTCGTGAGGCTTCTAACTGGGTTCCTAATTTTTTTTTTCTTAGAGTATTATACGATAATTTTGAATTCGTTTGTGTTCCTATTCGCTCCGTGCAGAAATCTGAATCAGCGCCGTCTGCAAGGATAAAAACGGCGGTACTTACTCGT